GAAATAGTCGGCAAATGACAATATCCATATCGAGCAGGAAAGGAAAGCATGCATAGGAAAGAAAGGTGAGGGACGAGATTTGTAAGCGGGACTTGAATCAAGCGTCGAGATTGCTGCCGGCCACATCCACGACGAAGCGATACCGGACGTCGTTACGCTCCAGTCGCCGGAAGGCTTCGTTCACGTACTCCATCTTCACCACCTCGATAGTGGACGTCACCCCTCTCTCCACGCAAAACTCCAGCATTTCTTGCGTCTCCTGCATGCTCCCTATGAAGCTCCCGGTGATGCACTTCCGCCCTGCAACCACCACGGCGGAACGGCGTATGCTAATGGTCGCAGGAAAACGTAGTAGCAATAGTATTTATCTTACCCAGCATCACCATGGGAGTGAGGAACTGCAGCGGCTGGTTGATGACGCCCAACAGGATCAGCTTGCCGTCCAGCTTCAGCAGCGGGAGGAAGCGCTCCAGCGGATGGAACGCCGGCACGGTGTCGACGATGTAGTCGAGGCTGTCGGCGGCGGCGGCCATCGCGTCCTCGTCGGAGCTGACGAGGTAGGCGTCGGCGCCGAGGTGGTCGACGGCCTCGGCGCGCTTGCGATGGGAGGAGCTGATGACGGTGACGTGATGACCCATGGCCTTGGCGAACTTGACCCCCATGTGGCCCACGCCACCAAGGCCAAGAATCCCGGCCCTGAGACCGCCGGCCGTCAGCCCGAAGTGCTTCAGGGGGCTGTACACAGTCACCCCGGCGCAGAGGAGCGGAGCAGCTTGCTCAGGGGCCAGAGCTGAAGGAATCCTCACCAAGAACCTGGTGAATCATCATAGGGAGCACGATTTGAGCCCAACCTATCATCAAACGTTCCACGAACGAATGGTGTTCGAGCTTTTGTCCCAGCGATAGAACGAGAAGAACAAAAGAAGAATCCAGCCATCTACTCACTGCTGATCCACCACCATAGCCGACGCGAACCCGCCTTGGGTGGGCTTGCCGTCGGCGTACACATCGTTGTACGACCAGACCTTCTTGTTGCAGTACTGCTCGACGCCCGCCTTGCATGGCGCACACTCGCGGCAGCATCCGACGATCACGCCGGCGCCCACCGTGTCGCCCAGCCTGAACCTGGTCACCTCCGCCCCCACCTCCACCACCTCCCCCACCACCTCATGCCTTCGCACAAAGCAACCAAACGCATCAGCAACATGGTGAGATCAACGATGTATGTTCATGCAACACGTACCCAGGAACCATGGGATACTTGGAGCCGCCAAGGTCGTTCTTGGTCTGGTGGAGATCGGTGTGGCAAACACCGCAGAAGAGCACCTTGATCACCACGTCTTCCGGTCCCGTCTTCCTGGTTACAGTCACCATAGCTTTGGTGTTGGTGAAGGCAAACGCATATCTGATACAGAGATGAGCTAATGATTACCTCAAGGTGAAGGTGTAGGGCGATAGGATCCCACTGGCATCTCTTGCAGCCCATCCAGTGATCGTTCTCCCAGTCGCAACGCTGCCCATTCTTCTCAGGCTGAGGAGGAAGGAGGAAGCACTGCGGTCAGCTTAAAGAAACAGAAGGTGATCTGATAAATATACAGGAAAGGAGTATGGTGCTGTGTCATTCTGAAGTGTGCTTTAAGGCAATGGGGGAAGATAGGGAGGTGATGGAAACGAGGTGGGGAAAGGAAGGGTGGAGTTGATGGAATGCGGTAGGTGGAAGTGGCATCAGACTCATCCTCCCCAACACTTTCTTGGGACCTTGCGGCCATGGCAAGGATTCAAGCAATGTAAGTTTTTTCTGTATTGATTGTGTTACAGTAAGACTCAAGCCATGGTTGGCAAGTAGGTTGGAACTTGGACAACCAGGAAGCAAACATTGATGTCTCACATTTTTGTGAAGTACCCAGAATCATTAATGAGGTAAAACAAGATGAAACAATCATGATGCCTCTTGTGGATGATCAGAAAGAAATAAGATTTGAGCCCATTCACACTTCATCAGACATTTGAAGGAATTTGGAAGAGAGTTTGAAGATCAACATCCAGAAACAAAATCTTGTTCAATGAAGAGGTGATATTTAATGCATCATGGCTTCTTGTGATGACATGAGATTGACATAATCCAAGGAGATACAAGTCTGATTAGCTAACAGATTAATCAAATGAACTATTCACAGGTGTTGAGATAAGAATTTTGAAACATTATGGCAGAGCAGATGAGCAGAGGAAGAAAAGCATGGTTTTGGACATACATGATTTCCAAGGTTGGTTCAACAGCTACTGGGTCTTTTTTTTTTATGTATTGGTGTGGTTTACAAACTCTTCCAAGAATTCCTTGATGAAGTCAAGATTTCCCAAGATTAAGCTATATTATGTGTGATAATAATGTGATAATAATGTTGAGATAAGAATTTTGAAACATTATGGCAGAGCAGATGAGCAGAGGAAGAAAGGCATGGTTTTGGACATACATGATTTCCAAGGTTGGTTCAACAGCTACTGGGTCCTTTTTTTTTTATATGCATTGGTGTGGTTTACAAACTCTTCCAAGAATTCCTTGTTGAAGTCAAGATTTCCCAAGATTAAGCTATATTATGTGTGATAATAATTTGACATTAGATGTGAACTGAGATTGTTGATATATATATATATATATATATTCTATTAAAATTTCTAAATTAGTAATATGATTGAATAGTATCTTCTAAAGCTATGGCAGAAGAATTAACAGAACAGAGAGGATGAGAGATTAGCAATTAGAAATATATGTTTGGGAGAGAGATGGGTCTGTGAGGGCTCAGAATTTTTGTACAAATTTTATCTATTTTGTTTCTTTGTTGAATATAATATCATTTTTGTGTTTTAGTGTACTGAATTTCTTGCCAAACACCTAAAACATTAGCTCCATGGTGATGTTTTTGGGTTACCTACTTTAGGTTAAGCACTTAAATTCTGAATTTACACCTAAATAGTTGGTCTGATAATGATATACCAGATTTACTTATCAAAGGTTGATGAATTAAAATTTTATTTAATAAATTCTAAAGATAATGACTAACTTAGTTAATAAAGATTATGTTGGTTGATCATGAAATTCAAATTACCTCTTTGTCACTTACTCTTTAGTAAAAAGAAATTTTGAGATTTTGGTAGATATTGTATTGTTGTGAGAAAGGCTTGCTTTTATATGATCAGATTCTTGGTGAGATGGATTTTGGACCCAACTATTTCAATTTAGTAATATAAGACATAATTATATAGTCAAAGAATAATTGGAGTAAACTTTTTAAGTTTAGTCCATGTGGTGTTAGGGCTGTGGTCATGATAAAATGTGAGAAGGATTCATCAGTCATTAGAAAAGAGAATAATGGACAAAGCAGTGTCTTTGGCTCTACCTATAAGTTGAAATTTGAAAGCAACCTATGCAAAAATAAGACTTTGACTTACCAACTAAAAGACAACATGGCAAGAAGAGCTATTTGACTTTACTGATTCAATTTAAACTTACACAACACCCACAAGGAGGCATTTCCAAGTTCTTCAAATGAATATTTTGTTGGAAAAAGGTAAGCTCAGCAACCTAATTCTCCTCTTAATATGATAAAAATAATGACAGGATCACCATTTGTAAGCAGTAGCTTATGCAAGTAATAATAATAGTCAACTTCACTTGGTTCCTTTCACCAAGATATCTCAAAACTCTATAAAAATTAACCAATGATAGTAAAGATACAAGTGTCATCCCAGTAACAGGAAATATATAATCAAACATTCAAATTAAAGGTTTATAACAATGAGCTCAAGATTTCCCAACTTCTTTGCATATGAGATGGCAAAGGAGCAACCAAATTAAGCTTCTCAACTTTTGAGAAATCATGGTCTGTTGATGATTGCAGCTGCTGCAAAGCAACTGAAATATTAGGCAAAACCATTTGTTTACAATGGAGATGCAAGCCAGGTAACTTCTCGGAGATGCTTCCGCCATCCAATTCAAGGCCAAATGGAAGCTTTTCTTTGGGGATCTTTTCACCCTTGATAATTGACTCTGGTAACCGCATGGGTTCCCACTTCCGGTGTGCATGCCTACCATACTTGTGGTCCCCAACTATGGGTGTTCCTAGAACTTCAGCGCAATGGACCCGAAGCTACAATTGGAAAAGAAATCACTGCATAAACAAAATTTACAGGAACTTTGGCATATCTTGTGATTACCAACTACTATACCTGATGCTTTCTTCCAGTTAGCGGGAAAAGCTCTAGCCATGTGTAGTCTGCATAACAGCAAGCTAGTGTAAGATTGCAGCCACATCAGCCTTAATCTTAACCAAACACACACACACACACACACACACAGATTTAGATCTTTGTCATGATATATAGAGAAAGGAAAATGCGGAGCAAACTAGGGTCCTAAGAGGTCATCCGGAAAATTAACTACCGAAAGCAGATTTTTCCTCTTTTAATTCACACTTATGGAACATGACCATAATCCAAAAAAGGAATATATACTTTCCTGATATGATGTTTGATTCTATGGTTCATTCAAGTGACAGATTTGTCCATGTTCCAGTAGCTGTAATAATCTAAGTTCCTATCTCAAGAAACTTGGTCTAGTATTATCAATACCTGTATTTGTCAAGCAAAAGAATTAAGTTGCTGAATCTGGATCCTGCTATTGGACCATGTTTACTTTCCTAGTCTGCCTCCCAACATTTCTTGAGTTGCTTGGAGTTTCATCAACTTGTTCAGACACCTTAATATAATGGACCATCTAACTTGTGTTTGCTCAACTGCAACATGAGAAACTTTAACTAGGCCCTACATACACCTAGATATTCTATTGAATATTTTCCTCAATCAAATCCATCAGTAACTGGTTTGTGCCTCCTTTCCAAAGCAATTATGCAGCATCATGAGTTTCATGCATCAAACTTGTTTGTACTTTACAGAGCTTATGTAGGTCAGATAGCATACTGTTCAAGGAAAAAGGTAACAGTATACACTTGTAAAAAGCTTGGTCTATAAATCACCTACCATGACTTGATCTGATCACTTTATACTCTGTCAAGGCATGCTGTGATGATGCGGACTTTCCATCATCTGCAATGATTATTCTCTCTGACTTCCCATCTTCCAGTACAATCTGTAACAGCAGAACATAAAATTCTGGTGAGGATCCATATAATCATTATTTAACATACAGTAGAAAGCAAAGAGCTTATCAATAGGTCTCTGGACTAATATATTTAGTGGGCTTAATTTTTATGAAATTGAAATTTTAATTCCTGCAAAGAATTTTTATTTACACAGCATAGACATAGGCCTTTATGGAATGTCCAGGCATGCTCTGAGTTTGACAGGTCACAATGCATTATATTGGCAGGCAACACCATCATCATTAGCCTCAATATATCTTGAAAGGAAAAGACAAAAAAAAAAAGCAGCCATCTCAATTATTTAACCTTTGCTAATGGAGCAGATATTAAGCCTTTTGAGTGTCTTGGAGTTCCAATAACAAGAGCCAAGTACTTTCTCTGCAGTGGCCTTTGAGTAACATTGATGTCCTTGAGGCATAGAAATTCAGCTTAATCAAACATTAAAATGAATTGCATATAAAATTAAACTAAAAATTCAGTCCATTTATTTTTGTGATCTGTTGTTACATGAATATGCTGACAAATATAAAAGTTCACTTACATCAGCTAGTGCTCCAGAAGTTTTCTCACGGAAGAGAGAATGCAGAATGGTTGCGCTAGTTTGGGTTCTACCTAGCACAAGAACACCACTACTATCTCTATCAAGTCTGTGTACCTGCATACAGTAAGGCTTGTCATCAAGAGTTGTGAATCATTTACTACATTAAGAATACAATAAAAAAGGAGGATCATACTTTATAACTTAGTTGAGCTCAAGTAGAGTTTTTTCGCAACCTATCTAAAAGAAACAATCAACCACAAGGCCTCAGATGTCCTTCTAAACAATCTATAAACACATCATGCGACACACTGAGTTCGGATATCTACAGTATTAACATGATATATCCATGAGAACATATTAGATCCAAGAACAAGTTATCCATCTCTGAAGGTGAACATAGACATGAGGAGGAAACATTAGATTAAGATTTGAAAACATTAATCATGCTATATGGGTTTAGGGTTTTAAATATTGCTAGTTAGAAGGCTTACTTTCTTTGAATGGATGAAACTCCTAGAGATTTCAAACTATGATATACCGAACCTGCACTCCATTTAAAATACCATTTTCTTCAGAATATGTCAACGATAATAGAACCAAATTGATCTTCATATGCCCCCTATGAATTGCTATTTCCCAGGGCCCAAATTCTAGTTGTCTGTGACAAGTTTGTTATAGCTCTATCATTGTTGATCAGCCTTGGTATTCCAACATCACCTGTACCAATCGTTTCTTCCAGTCAGCCTTGGCCAGCTTTGCCCATTATCTTCCTCTAATGTTAAACGGTAGTAGAACCTCTTGGCATGCCCTTGTTACCTTTCAGTTCTTTAGATCAGTTATTCTTCTTCAGTTAAAATTGCTGGCTATTTAAAAAGACAATTAGATATTAAAAATTGTATCGACAGATGAAAGATGAAATCATTGTGACCTTAACAGCCTTTAGGATTTTGATCAATATGTAAGTAACTGCTCCGGTGGCTGCCTTAAGCAATAAATCTACCCTCCAAATAACGAATATTAACAGAAAGGATGATTCCACTCACCCATGTTAGGCATAAAAATTTGACAATATCATAAGACCAACTTCAGAGTCCATGTTCTAGAGAGGAAAAGAGAATGAACCAGAAATTTAAGTTGTTTTCTTGTTTCAAAGAGGTTGGTACTCCCCAGAATGAAGATACAGATTACAAAATTATGTTGCCTAAAGCATGTACGATACTCGAATCAAATTAGTCATGTGAAGTCAGCTTACGGCAACCACTAAATGAAATAGCCAAAATTACAGCAAGCATGGTTGAAAGTTGAAACTAACCAGTCGAGGTGGTTCAGAACACTCATATTTCAAGCAATTTGCCGCGAGCGCATCCATACTATATCTGATGCCAACGCCACCCTTTATAAAAACACAGGTAAGAACCATATATCATAATCCGCACAAAGGCATCAAAGACATTGATGCAGTCTACCTACCTGAACCGGCATACCAGGAGGTTTGTTGACCACAATAATAGCTTCGTCCTGTATCCCTCACAATGATGAAGTCAAGTAGTTTGAAGCAAAACAATGATCAACTAGAACCTTAACCAACAAAAGGGTAAAAATCGAAACCTTGTACAATTCGAGGCTGCGAACGAAGCTGATCTCAACATCATTATACTTAGACCTATAACTTCCCTCGGTGGTAAGATTTTGCACGGATACAGGTAAAAAGATTACTTCTCCAGGCATCATAGCATCTTTCACCGAGACCTTGAAACAATACATCAATGAAAGACATTGGCACTCTAAGCTAACATCATATCCATTTAGCTCATGGTTTGTAACTATTACCCTTCGCAGTCGGCCCTGTTCAGCAGGAGTTGCATTACCATTGTATACCACTTGTGCTGTTTGATCCCTCCGTACCTGCCAAAAGTCTCCCTTTTTACAGGAAAATATGGAATAAAGAACTCATTTGGGTATTCATTCGAACATATAGAGGACGACCTGCCTCAGCCGGAAGAGCTTATGGACGAGAGACATGGGCAGGTGGGGGCAACAGCGGCGGACCCACTTCAATGCCGACATGGGCTCGGTTTCCGCCACGGGGCGGCGGCCGGCTAGCTCTTTCCCGACGGAAACGCAATCGATGGGTGGCGAAAACGGGGGCAGGGTGAGCCATTTTCCCTTCGGCTTTATCGGCTCGTGTTGTTCGATCAGAGAAGAAGCGGGGGCGGCGGAGTGCAAAGAACGCAAGAGCACGGAAGAGAGGATCCTCGCGGAGCTCGATGGTGCCGAGGAGAGGCGGCGCTGCCAGAGGCGGACGAGCCCCGCCGACATGAGCGTGAGACGACCGTGACACCACTCTACTGGGCTGCGGAGAGGGCTCAATGGTTGCAGCTTACCTGTCCGAGCCATGGCAGCGTTCAGGGTTCTCCACTTATAGAACGGAGCCCACCCGTTACATATCTCAGCATATCACACACCAAAAATTCCTATAAAAAATCCTCATCCAAGAAATAAATTGGAAAATGTATTTTTTTTTCTCTTATGCGATTTGATTTTGCTGTTTGATTCGTGGAATTTATTTTACGATTTTAATACCATTTGTATTTTTAATCTGATAAGACAAATTTTCAATATCAAATTAGTTGATTATATATATATATAAGCAAGAAAAAGCTCATGTTCGAAGATAATAAATCATGCGTATATTTGTCGGAAATCATATAACAATACAAGTCATTTTTACAAACAGTTGGTAGGTGTATGGGGTCGGGTCACGACGGATCAAAAGCCAATCAATTGTTATCCCCGGGGCTCGGCCCCGACTTCTTTATCCCATCCAAAGTATAGCGCATGAATCCATCAGCACTCCGAGCTCCTCCGGTCTTCATCTCCCGGAGCAGTAAGTCGCCGAACCAGCGATCGACCTCGTCGGCCACGCCTTCTTCATGGAAACATCCGGGCCGGGCTTGCACCGAGAGCGCGAGATCGGCCGCCAACAAAAGGAATACTACGAAGTAGAAAGCCCCGGCTCTTGCGGCCATGGCGGAAGGACGGGGCGAAACGAGGAGCAGCGAGCTGTGTGTGGGGTTAGCTCCGCTTGTGGTGGTTTATGTAGGGAGTCGAGCGAGGGGTATTCGTTTGACCGGGAAGAGTTGGAAACCGCCGCCTTGAACGACGTGGTTTGATGCGTTAAGCGACCGAGCGCTCTGGTGAAGCATCGAAGAGGAAGAATGATGCAAAATGGTGGACTTTTGATGTAGAAAAGTTGGAACATGCAGTGGTTGAATTGAATCGGAGGAGGAGGAGGGAATTGGAGTGTTTCGTGCGTCCATTTTGTTTGTTATAATGCCTCAAAGACTAATGCTACTTTTGACCGGGACGTGGAATATGGAAGCAGGTGTGGTTGCTTCCGCGCGAGGGGAAATGGGAGATTAGGTGTGCAATTTCCGCACGGGTTAGGGGGTACAGTTCACGAGGGGGAACTGTTAAGTGTTTCATGATTCCACTTGTTTGTGAGAATACCTCAAAGACTAATGCTACTTACCTTTGACCGCGACGTTGTTGCTTGTGGGCGAAGGGAAATGGGAGGCTTAGGTGTGCAATTGACTACGGGTTTGGGTTGAAGAAAGTTGAGGCATAAGATTTATGCCCATGGGTGGGACCCAAGGTGGAAGACACGCACCCGGAGGACACATCGCTGACTTGGCACTCCTCTCAGCTTCGCGGTATGCGTGCCACATCAGCCTCATCATGCCTCGTAACCTAAACACAATTGGTGACAACAGTTCTTTTTTTAAAAAAATTTTACCGAAACATCTATATTTTAATAAAATTAAAATAATATTTTTTAAAAAATAATCATTTTTTATCCTGTTCGTCGATTGCCCCCTCAACCTAGCCTAACCCGTCAACTACCATCTTTACCATTGCTCTAAATCGAGTAGCTTGCGATAACGATGTTTGCTCGGAGCTAGGAGGTGATCCCATATATAGTGAAAAGAAACGACTAATCATCGTGCAGCAGAGACGTGGCTCAATGCATGACAGAGGAGGATGGCCTTACATACAGTGGAAAGAGATGATCAATCGGTCATGAGCAATAAAGAGGAGCTATAAGTGATGACGAGCCCTCACACGATGGATGTGAGATTCCATAAAGAAGGGTCAAAATGATATTAGACCAAGAGTATTGTCTTAAAATTTTTGAAAGTAAAAACACTTTACGAAACATAAGATAAATTGTTAGCTAAAATGATATATGAGTTTCAGATGAGACGATTAATGTTTTATGTCGTTTGTCACGTTAATATATTATGCTTAGGCGTGTGATGTTTAATGGAGGTGCTTTTTTTTTTTCTTCTTAAAATCATTAGAATAGTGATTGAATTAAGCGTTTTGCACAACCATCAACTAGTGATCTTCCTACAAATAACACAACATATAAATTCCTTTTGCGTTGCTTCTCCTTGAATTCACAAGCTAGCTGATATCACAAGCTCCTCAGTACTTTTGTTCCCTCTCGTCTCCTCTCTGAAGATAACAAAGAAAGAGAGGAGAAAAGAAAAAAGCACAGTGAGAGAACCATTAAAAGCGTGTAGCAACCTTCTTGGAAGCTACTTTACATAATGATGGAACACCTGATAGATGCTAATTGGTGGGCTCCTGCAGCCACTTTGTTTTCTCTGCATCAACTGTTGTGTTCTCCTATAGGCATCCATATTCGAGGATCTATCAATGCATGATAGATAAGATTGTGAGAACTCCTAGTTTTTGGAAGCTTAAGATAAGAACATCGTCTTTTCCACTGCCTTTTGTCCATTCAGTAAAAACACTTGGGAAGAAGTCCCACTACCTTTCTTTCACTCATCTTTCTTCTTTATATTATGGTGACATCCAATGCCTCTATTATTATCATTATAATATTTTTATTTCACACAAATGTCTACTGTCATACATCTAAAGCTTCACTCTTGTTTCTGAGCTCCTGAATTTTTCATGCTTATCATTACTTTCGCTTGGCTATGATGGTGTCTTTCTATATCAAAGACGGTGTCTTATCCATGTTAGCATGATCTTGATGTTGTTTTCGCTGTTCTATGCTGTGCATGAAAGATGTGTGAGAGAAGAAGAACATGTTTCACAGGAACAGAGACACCACCACGTTATTTGTATGTCGAGTACTACAACCAAGACACTTGAATTGCGTGTAACATCTCACTTCTCGCTCTCTCTGCACCGGCAGTATCGTCTGGTCACCGGTGCAAGCCCGCCGCCGCGGCCGCGTGGCCCTGCCCGGGGCTCGGTCCGGCCTGCTTGATCCCCCCCAGGGCCCCGAGGTAGGAGAAGGAGGCGTCGCGCCCGCCGCCGGCGCCAACAGAGCCCGGGCTCTCGACCTCGAGCGCGGAGCCAAACTCCAACCCTCCCGCCATCTGTCGCGCCGCCACCACCATCGCCATGCACGATACCAACAGGAAGAGGCCAAGAAGCGTCCATATCCGCGGCCCGCTCACCATTGGCCAACCGCTGCTCCACTGGACGATCCGCACCCTCCCGCCGCATTTATAGCGCGTCCGTGGCTCGCCAATGGAGAACCAACGGGTGTTCGGCAAGGAGGTGTTTATTTAATGGGGTGCACACTTCTAGGAGTGGGTTGTGGGGGCACTTAAGTGGGCTACAGACCTCCAACGGTGTCTCGAGACAGGAGAAGATTAGGGGGATTGCGCCATGGCGTCGGGAGAGGAGGAGGTCGCGATTTCGAGGAAGAAGGAAATAGGGGAGTGCCAAGTGTCCATGCACGAATCCTAAAGCCCATTGAGTCATTAATAGTAAGTTGGATAGCAATTTTCCAGATTTTATTGCTAAATTTAGCACTGATGGGACACTAAGAGATGGTAAAGATAGGAGTGATTGCCAATGCCAATCCAACTGAGCAAATTTAATGCAGATGGTAATGCCTTCGTTCTTTCAGGAACATATCAACTTCAATGCATCCAACAACTACTCTCTTTGGAGATTAAATCACAACGGAGTTCAGCTGGGACATGTACACCAAATATTGTTCTCTCTACCAAAATATGATAAGCATATTAGATTCTTCACGCAACCATTGTATAAATACATAATCTGACAATTTATCCTTAACTTTCCAAGGAATCTGTATTTGATTACTAGTACAAGGAGCTTCTTCAATTATGGTACTGCTTCCTTTCTTGATGTGATCTACATTCATCATGCTATATATGATGACCAAATGACATCTGTAATACTTGTCTCTCTCTCTCTCTCTCTCTCTCTCTCTCTCTCTCTCTCTATATATATATATATATATATATATATATATATATATATATATATATCTTCCTCTCCAAACCAACTTGATTAATCCAAACTGTGTAAAGCTTTATTACCAACAAGATGAGACAATGTAAAAGAGTTAGGGAAGTTGATGTTAAAGAGAAATCTGTGATGCATAACAAAGATTAGCAAATTAGATTGGCACATCAGGTTGCAAATAGAAATAAGATAGCAATAAACAGTGCTCAAGAATAAACACACTGCCATTATCAAACCAAAAAAAAAAAGAATTGTTGTGCATCTTATTTATGAAGTTCTTAGAAAAGAAAACCAATGTGGGGCTTGGACATGCATCCTTACATCTGCATCATACTATTTGAGCACCCAGATTGCATGTTACTATAAGGTATGTAGATGATAGCAATAGAGAGAAAACATCCAAATGCCAAGAACAGCTAAAAGGTTTAATTATGACACCATTGATGAAGCAAAGAAAAATTACGTGCTAGTGCATTAGACAGTGAAATATATGGTTTGACACTATGGTAAGACAACTTAGATACGCCGCTGAGAGTCGAGACACTCAAGACCGGTAAGATCAAATGAATAAGAAAACAAAAAAATAGAGGTAAGCTAAGATAAATGTGTGTCGACCATTACCTAATAGCTTAACCTTCTAGGTTAATCAACAATATCATCATGTAAAACTAAAGGATAAACCTGAAATTTAAAGTGGGAAGTGAGTAGTTTATAAGCTCGATATTGTGAACCAGCGAAAACTAAAAAATATGGCGGGAAAATTACATCTTTTATTATAATTGTAATTTGGAGTTACTGCTCGATGCGAAATAATGGTCAAGAAACTGATAAGAGAAAAGAATTAACAACTTAACATATCTATCAATCGCATAGTAAACCAATTGCTAAGCTGTGTTGCAAATGATGCAAGCTACAGTTGACATGTAACAAATCAGATGCCAGCCATGATTTTGTCTAGAAAATGGTTCTAAATGCAGCCTAGTATAAACTCGGTTCTAATGGGAAGGCAAGCTTGAGAACAACATCGACAGAATCAACATCCATGTGGTGGCTTCACTTGCAGCAAGCATTAATGGGTCAACAATCATGCAATAGTTTCAACTTAGAGCAATTATTCAGCAAGAGAAACTTCCATCAAAGCAATATTTGTTCTGCAAAGGTAAAAAACTATGTTACAAGGCACATTGATCAACCACTTGCCCATGACAAAAGAAAAGACATCAAATCTTCTTGAGGTGAAGAAGATGTTCAGAGAAAGAAGGAGGTGAAGCTCACAACCTAATTTCTGTAATTAAGTAGATCAGAGGAGCTGCACCATTGTCCAATTAAAATATAAAGGACTTTGAAAATACCTGATGGTTCTAAAATGTGAGAAACAGACAACAGATGTACACAAGCACCTTTCACCATAGCCACATAATCCTGATGGGCAAGGATCACAACCTTTTGCTTTCCTAGTTCTATATTTCTACACTCTACTCAGATCCTATTAAGCCACAGTTCCGAAGTGATTGAGTCGATTAAATGGATCTTGTTCCATCATTGAGTGCTACAACATTTACACATCAAATTAAGGGATGAAAGAAATCCTACTTTATTGTTTCTGCTAATTTTCCTAAGATACATTCCTTAAGTAATCAGTAAACACACAAGCAACAATCCATAGCATGTTCCCCTTTACCACCAATGACTACCAAATAGAACTCCAGAGTAAAATACCAGTTTCAGAATATCAAATTAGCATCCCTTGTTCTCTTCCAACTGATGGATTAATTCCTTTATCTTCCCATCTATCATAATTATTTTATATCAAGTGCAGCAGAAAGGCTATGGCGATTGTAGAAAGAGTTCTAATGCAGAAAGGCTCGTTTTTCTAGCTTCTCATTCATCAAATTAGATATCTTTTTGGACAAACAAGAGGAAGAGAGGCAGATCCATAACAAGCTATAATTCTGGTCTCATATGATCAGTGACTCAAACTCTTGAAATCATATTAATAACAGATCACAAATCCAACCAACATAATATAGAACGGAACGACCAAAAGGTAGCAAGTAAATATGAGAACACATCGAGAGATTGTTGTAAGGAGAAGGAAAAAACCAACTTTTTCTGAGGACCGTCTTCTCTACTCTTTGCGCGTGAGAGCAAGGCATCAGAGGTTGAGGGCGACAGCGTGGAAGTCATCGTCGGCTGGTGGGAGGAGATTGAGATCGAAGGGCAGCGGTTGCGGGCATGCCGATGCGATGTCGCCGTTGTCGTCATCCACGACCGAGGACGAGGACCCGCAGTCGCTGTGGCAGTCCTCCTCGCCGACAAGGACTCGTTGGGGCGGCGGGTTGGACTGCCTCCTGCGATGCGACGCCCGGACGTGGGTCGGCGCGGCCGCCGCGGTTATCCGGGGCCCGCTGAAGGATTCCACGGTGCTACTGAGGCTGCTGCACGTCGGCCGCTGCGGTGGAGGGGGAGACGGCGGCGGGTGACGCCCTCCAAAGGCGAATCGCGCGTCGGAGGGGGAGCGGAAGGGAGGGACGGGAGGTGGAGGAGAGGAGGGGGAGCAGGGAAAGTTGGTCTTAGCCTTAGGCCCCCGGAAGGCGATGGCGGCGGCGTCGTAGGCCCGGGCGGCGTCCTCGGCGGAGTCGAAGGTGCCGAGCCACACCCGGGCTTTCTTCCAGGGATCCCGGATCTCGGCCGCAAACCGCCCCCACGGCCGCTTCCGGACGCCGCGGTACCGAACCTCCACCGTCATCGCCGCGGCAGCCGCAGCCACAGCCGGAGCTCGGCCCTTCCGCATCTCTTCTTCAACACACACGGAAACCCAATGATCGGATCTTCAAGGGGCGAGGAGGCGAACAGATGATCGATCAAAGGCGTCGCTTTGAACTCTTGTATCTCAAATCCTGTTCCTCCTCATCCTCCGCCTCCGCCTTGCAATCAATCGGCCTCCAAACAGAAGGAAGACTTGGAATGCTCCGATTCCTTCGTACACCAGTCGATCAATCACACATCCCCTTCTCCTCCGGCCTCCACCTTCCCCCGTCCCCCTTCCCCCCGTCCCCTGCCCAAACCCTCTTCTTCTTCACCCTTGATAGCTTTCATCTAAAAAAGTTCGATATTTTTCGGCGGACGCTCAAATGACTATTTTACCCTTTTCTTTATATTATGATTATAATTATTGTTGTTAATTAATTATTTAGTATTTCTACTAGTTGTGATTCTATTTACATCTGTAACTTTTCTGTGTTGCATTAAGCTATGGATGTATGGTATGTAATAAATATACATTTTGATTTTGATATAGAATATGTACATGCACTTATGGTCAAGGATGAAACCTCCTCCAAGTGGAAATCCTAGAAAAAAAAAATAACATTTGAATATTATTAGAAATAAAAATAAAAATAATCTTAGAAAAATTAAGCTGAACACAATCTACAATGTTTGAATTATATTAGAAACAAATTAATTAATAAACTTTTGAGACATTCTGTAATGTCTATAAAATGGAAGAAAAAATAGGTATTCTAATGGCATAGGAATATTTTTATTTTTTGGAAAACATATAAACATGATAAAGGAGTGGAATGATTGCAAGTACTCATTCATTTACATAAGGATCAATTGTTTTGAACACCACATCCTTTCTTTTTGCTTATCCATGTGTTACCAATATCAATGCTCCTAAGCAAAGAAGGATACTCTTCTGTTCTCTGGCACTAAATAAAGGAAATGACATAATTACCAAATTGTGAAGGAATTCAACCCCAAGTCACATTCTAATAAACTGCCATTTATATAATTAGGTGGTGAAAAAGAAAGCTGCAACTTCATCCAAAGATGAATGAAACACCATTTGACTTTGGTGAGCTCATAATGACATGTTAACTAGATGATTATATATCGACTAACTGGGGATAAACAAAATTCTTGGTGCTATATTCCTCTTAATTATGCATGACCAAATGAATAGACGGCATTGATGAGCTACGCAGCCGTGGTATCATTTGCCAGCCTGCATCATTTCATCGAGGATTGTTCTCGTCTCAACTCGGAAGGACAGAGATAAACCTCAACTGGTTTTAGAATCAATGACCCTCTTTGCAAAAGATGGCAGACAGAATGCAGCAGAATGAATCTGTGGAAACAATATAGTTAGGTATTAATTAGGACGATAGATGAGGTAAAGTCAAGTCCCTTGTTGTAGAGTTCCTCTAATGAGTACCTGTGAATTGTAGAACTTCAAGGGTCCTTTAGATTTGTTGGAAGCTTCATCCTCATCAATCTGATAGACAGGATGCTGGAAGTCAACAGCTGGTCCCTCCGTGGAGCAAAGCATGAAACCTATAGCTCCACTGCATTCATATATCAATAACAAGACACCCTAATTCCATTATATTACATCAAGAAGAAAGTGCCCAAAGAAATATGAAGTCGACATGCACATGCCTTGGGTATGTAGGTACTGTTGTCCAAGCATAATTCACAGAGCCTTTAAAGATCTGACAACAGGCAGAGACAATGCCTTCTATAATGTGCATATGGAGCCATATGCTCTCTGCCTGGGTGCACACAACCCCTCCTGGACGGAGAGCTTTTGCCACTGATTGAAAGAAAGGTTTCTCAAAAAGTTCTTGAGCTGGACCTGTATAAGCCAAGTGATGAAATTAGAAAGGTTTTGGTAGAAAGAGAAAAAGGGGGCAAAACTGATGCAAGTCTCTATACCTATCGGATCAGAAGAATCCACGATGACTGCATCGTAAGTACCTTCAGGCGCATCTTTGAGGAATGCAACTCCTGCAAGTCATGAAATTATGAGTTGCGATTAGAGAGGACCCAAAAAAAGGAACTACAATTGACAGCTGAATTATTACTGAAGTTCAATTGTCAGTCAAGCATGCTTTTAAAACCATGTCAATATTACCTACTAACGACAATGTTGGTGCTTACCAAGCTTCTAGTCATATCTGTTTCATATGAGCAGGCAAATATTTGACGGTACTAACATATGGTCTGAACCACTTGACATTTTATTTAAGTTGTTATTGAATCTTAAGGTAACAATTACAGTATTAATCTAGGCCACAAGTTAAGATGTGATATTGAATTAACTATCTAGACAAGGAGAGTAAGACCACCATTTTCCATTTAAATAATACAGGAAAAATAATATAATCATTGGAAGGAGTTTCTTACCATCACCAATATGTAGAGTAACACGAGGATCCTCATACCCGACAGCCAGATGAGGGAAAAATTGCTTAGAAACCTGTTTGAGGGGGAAAAAAATAGAAAATAAACCAGTCGCTTATTCAGAGTCAACAAAACAAAAGGAAATAAGATTCAAGGAGGTAACTATCTTCTACATGAGTTTTTTACTACACCTGGACTGTTGTAGGGCCTCACTACAACCAAAAAGAGTTAACATCAGACGAGACCTACCCTTTCAATATGTGCAATCATGCAGTTCACAGCGCATATGAAACAACAATATCTGATCGATAGTTGTAAGCACAACAATGGTACTTAAATCAACTTCTAAAAGCAAATGCATATGTAGAGGAAGGTAATTTTATCAATCTGTGTCACATCTAATAGTTCCGGATGAAATATGAGATATGATGTGAATAGTATTTATGTTGTGCTGGACGACCTACATTAGGCAAAGAATTTTACTGATTGGCAAAGCTGGCAATCAAATATTTACCAGCCAATGGATGGTCATGATTCAAATAACTAAACATGAAATCATAAATTGGTTTACCACAAATCACAACAACGGAATGCAGAGTGCTGAATCAAAAGAAGATGCACTTCATGAATCATGTTCAAATGTAAATGACAGTAGACTAGAGCCACTATATCCAAAGGGGATATATACTCGACGCATAACTGATTTCTTTAGTCCATATTTTACAGACCAGATCCAAATCAATAATCTGCAGGCCTAATGGGGTAGTTCCTAGAAATGCAAGAAGGCAAATGCAACATAAGATTGTATTTCCCCCTTCTGAAAGAGTGAAATGTAATAAAGGTGATGAATTGATTACAGTAAATATTTTCTTATATCATGTTTCCTTTCACTGGTTAGACTCTCTCATTCCCCACATTTGCCTAAACTTCTTTTGAAGCTAGATCTTCTTCTAAATTATTCACATATAAGAAAGTCAAGTTCACACTTTAAAAGGGTTAACATAGTATCTAGTGACTGCACCTGGAGCTACTACACAGGATGTCATGATGGACTTCTGTTACAAACTACAGTTCAATGTTCTAACAAACTCTGAACCAATCAGAAAGTCAATCAGAGTGGGGAGGGAAGTATCACTTGCATGAATAAACAAGCATGTGATGGCATAGGAATCTGATAGAATAAGGATTTAAAACCAAGAACATCAACTATCACCCAGCAGTTCTTTGACAAATAAGCAAATGCAGAGATACCAAATAAGCACATCATATTTATTTATGAAATCATCCTTTAGACAAAGGTGACACAATGGCTCTCTAATCAGTGGAGGATGTTATGATGACCCATATAGACAATTCAAACTAACTAAAACCAAAATGAATAACCAGCTGGCAATATGTAAAATCTGTGTGCGAATTTCCACAAATCAGAACATGAATATATGCCACCAAGGCTTTTCGCATTTTGCACAGGTGGAGTTGAAGGCCAACACCATGCAAATCAGAAATATTCCTCAGTGCATACTACAAATGAGAAAGCATTGAAATCACGAAAGCAAAGTATTCAAATTCAAAAAGATTCATACTCACATCCACGACCATTTTGTCAATTTCACATATGTCTATTTGCTCCACAGATGTGTAACGTGACACTTCTCGCAGAACACCACCATCTCCGCCTCCAATGACAAGAACCTGCAAAGATTAAGATTGACAAACCATTCAATTATGCAAAAAATTGCAAAGTCAAAGTGTGTGACCAATGAACTAATAGCAGTATCAACAACAAAAATACAATCACCAATTTGATATATTTGAACAAGCTGAAAACTATAATGTTCTTAGTAAATACTAGCTGATGACTAAAAGATAAGAGAATCCTCTTCTAATTATATATCTTGAACATGCACTAAAACAACCCATTTGTTGTATCACAGAAATGAAATAATCACTGGTTAAAGTGACAAGACCTGTTGTTGATAAAAAGAAGTAACAGTTGTTGCACCTTAACAGTGAAAGAAGAAATGGAGAACTTTTTTCTTTTTTTTCCTTTTCGGGTAACAGTTGACATAGAGATAGCAAGAAAGATGGGAAGTCAAGAGAGATAATGTCTCTTGAATTGGGACAAAAACAAAGTTTAATAAAAAAAGAACAAACCGCTCCTGCTCCCACATCGGATAGACCTGACAAATAGAGAGATTGTGTCCGCGATTCAAATCTTGGTCACCAAAGTTATTTAGCATGATTACCATTGTACCAACGCTCACCCTCACAAAATTGAATACTAAGATATACCTATGAATAAGATAAAGTGATAGATCAGTTTTGAAAAAGAGAATGATTGGTATCATTTGGAAAAACAAGCTTGAACATTGAACCATACTAACCTAATGGCCTAGATCAAATTAATGAATCATAGCATCAACTTTTAAATCACCTCAGCAAGTTGATAACAGATGAAATTTTATGGCTGCGCATGTGTGCATGGGAAGGTGTCACAGTGTTAAACAAAAAAATTGAATAGCTTCAGCACTCACATCAGAATATGACAAGCACCAAATCATGGCCAGTATATAACCTTAATTTTGAAATTATTAAGCTCTCTATTAGATTATCATATTTAGATTTCTTTATGAAAAAGATAATGAATCCTATTGCCAGCTAAAAGGAAGAAAAATTTGTTAATCATTGATGATATGAAAATTGGCTTAAGCCATCAGTGTCTAGACTCAACTGAAAACATCACTCACTTTGCTCCTGATGAGAACTTTGACATATACCATAGTTGCTATTCAAGCTTTTACATGCTCATGGAATTAGCAATTCCTAGTTATATAAATCAATTATTTAATAGTAAACATAATGAATACAGTCACATATATCATTGTGAAGAAAAAAAATGTAACAAATCACATAACCATTGTGAATGATGGGGTCTTCATAATTTAATCCAACATTTACATTACAATAGAACAGGAACATCTTTTCCCTTCTCTATTTTTCACACTTATTGTAACATATGAGAAAACTAAAACTAGTTAGCACATTATTTGTTCAAAAAAGTCATTAGTTGTGTTGATCTGTATACATGTACATGTATATGTATATACACATATATATACACACACACATATAATATATATATATATATATGTATATGTATATATATGTATATATATATATATATGTATATGTATATGTATATATATGTATATATATATATGCTTCATTGCCCATGTAGAATACGCAAGTATGCCACTGTTCCTGCATGCACAACATGCTTATAATGTTAAAAGAGTTGCATATGGTAAAGCTACCTTTTTAGGATTTGAGATTGAACAGAGTGGAAGATGCGTAATCATTTCCTGGTAAGCACACTCGTCTCTCTCTGCTACTTGAATGACTCCATCCAAAACGAGAACTTTGCCATATGTGGATGACTGACACCCAGAATGACAGTCATATGATCAGGCAAAGCAAAAAAAAGCTATATTGAAGAAGAAGAAAGTTGCTAGTTTTCACTGTCCACAAGTACCTGGAAGACCAGAACATTTTGGTAGTCCGACTTCCCCTGAAACAATATCTTTTCCACCTTTAAGGAGTGAGCTTCTCCTGTAAATAATTTCAAAAATTCTTACATATTACAAAATGGAAACAATAAATAACATGATAACAATTACAAATTAACTATCAACTCATATTAAATGTTCGAAGCTAGAGATCCTCTTCGCAAAAAATAAAGGTGGTAATAATTGATTAACACATATGTTAATCCGCTCTAACTAGCTCAATGGAACGAAGTCTGTAGAAAAAAAATCAGAAAACCAAACATAGCTCATTATAAATCTTAAAGAAAAGAGAGCCTGACAATGAAAAGACTATTAGGACATACAATGACATACCAGATGATACCCATTAACAGAGAAAGCTAGGAAAAAGAGAATCTTGTGCGATGCAACGCTCACACGATATGATACATATCTAAATTCCGGTGAAACCTCGAACTAGAGAGGCCAAATATAAAAACTGGATCTTGATATCTTAGCCACAGAAGGAAATGCGGGTAGAAACCGAAAGAAGCGTAGATCGCCTGCAGATGCAACGAGAGAGTAATATTACACCTGGCCACATTGGGCTGAGCTCAGAGAACCACCCGGGGATGACCGCGGAGATGCCGTTCATCTTCTTCTCGTGGGGCACTGCCGGCTCAGCGTTGCCGTTGCCCTCCTCGCTTGCCTTCGGCCTCTCTGTTGCCGCCGCACAGCCGCCGACTTCCATCCCGACTCCCCTCTTTTATGTTCTCCACCGCTTTGGGTTTTGCGTCGCTACCATAACTTATATTGGAGTGAGTGCGTGTGATTGCATATGATAGAGCTCTCCATTAGGGTTTTCGGGTGGGAATCTTTTCCATTCTTCTTCTTCTTCTTCTATTATTATTATTATTATTATTATAGTTCATTTTAGGCCGTAAAACAATAACACTGATAAAACCCAATTGATTTGATGAGGCTTATTTTTAGAAAATATTATATACATATATATATATATATATATATATATATATAAACCTTTTGCATATTTATGTTTGTATAGTTGGAAAGTGATTTCTTTTCGGGAAAAGACTTGAGTTCAAGTCTCAATGACACTAAAAATATTTTTTATGTGTCTTTTATCCAAAATATTAAATATTTTAGAAATAAATTTATTGTAAATAAACAACACTTGTCAATGTACATTTTCAATTTTTTAGCCACAAAGAAATAAATAATTGAATACGTGTCTTTTCATATTAATCCTTACAATTTTTTTTTTAAAAGTAGATTGATTCTTACAAATATTAATATATGTGTCCCTTAGAAAACTAAAGCTAATCACTCCTAGCCATGACTAATTTAAATATATCACTGAAGTTGATCTGACACCGTTGACCTAGCCGACCCGAATCTTGATGCGACATACGGGCGGGCGACGATGTGGTCAGGATCATGAAACGGACGGCTCAGCCTGATCGTTGGACTCACGGCTTCTCCTGTCCCATCCACGTTGCGAAACACGGGAAGACTTCACACACGTGTCCTTTGGCACACCGTGTCTCTGGATGATCGGTTAAGTCGAATGTTTTGTGCCTTGGATAAGACAGCTCATATGAGTACGTCAAAAGAATCGTGTCGGGATTTAGAACAGCAACTCCCTGCGATTGGGCGCAGAGTTGTCAAACTCAAAATTTCATACCAACTCACCCGCTTTGTTTCTACTGATAGGAAGCATGGGGCCAATCGTGGGTCCCGCAGGAACTAGTTTCGTTTCGCCAAAGAACACACCGGTAACAAAGTGGGTAGAAAGAATAGCCCTAGTTGCTCATGATGAGCACATCCATCCTCCCCTCTTCATGGAAGCACATGGCGCCTGGCTCCTGCATTCCTCCTCTTCCGCATCTCTAATTCCAATCCGGTCTCCATTTCGGATCCAAAGCGGACAACATGATTGCCACAGTAAGTGATCCCCATCTCGAATCTCATATCTCCTCTCCCTTTTCGTCCTCCTCGCAGCAATCGAGTGATCTCTGGACGCAGCGGTTTATCGATCTCTTCCTGGCCTTGTCGGTCTCTTTTCGTGGTGGATTCGATGGTTTCTTTTCTTGCTGAGGTTACAAAGCCGGAATCGGTCGATAAACCTCTGCATCCGGACTTCCGACGACAACCATTCCTCCGTTCCCCCCTTCTTCCTCCTCTTGTTTTCGTCATCTTATATGATGATTGGGCAATGAAGAGGTGGTAGCTGATAGGGCTAATCGATACGGTCCATTCGATGCCGATTTCGATCCTTTTTTTACTCAGATTATTGTCGGCATTCTGCAGATTTTCAACCGATGAATAATAGTGTCATCAGCATTTAGATCGATTCAAAATGGGTGACGTCTTGAGTTGTGATGATGGAGAGAGAAAACAGTAAATATGTTTGATTTAATGTCTCTCAGTTCTTCCTTATGCCTTCAATTTTGCATTGTTCTTTTGGATTCGTTTATCTTTTCATTATCTTCACCATTTGATCTATCCTCATTTTGGATTATTCACTGAATAGGACGTAAAAGTTGTGTATTAAATAGACAGCAGAGGACTACTAGAAATCTTTATTTACAGAAGCTACCATTATTGGTTAGTTCGTCAAGAATGAGTGGTCGGAATATACTCTAAGATGGCTTAAACTTGGCTTTGGGAGGACTAAATGGGGAAAATAAGCTCAACTGGTCAAATTAATGTGACAGGATGGCACAGTTTTTATGAAGATGATTGAGATATATTCCATATTTTGATGTTTAAACATTTAGCCACAGAAATATTTTTCATTTAATTTATTCCTTTTACCAAGATTCCTTGTTCTACATGCATGTGAACATCTCTATATTTGTTATGTTTGCAATGCTTGAAGGTGAATCTGTATAAAGAATTTAAACATAAATATTCTTCTGACATTTAGCCACAGGAATAATTTTCATTTAATTTATTCCTATTACCAAAATTCCTTGTTCTACACGGATGTGAAACTATCTATATTTGTTATGTTTGTAATGCGTGTAGGTGAATCTGTATAAAGAATTGAAACATCAATATTTTTCTAGAAAAGAGCTATATGTTACATGTATTTTTTTTTACTGTGAGAGCATGTGGTGTATTTTGTTGTGTGAATTATACTTGCTGAAATATGGTGGTGGTCATGAATACTGATCTTTGGATTATTTAATTGCATGCATGACATAGCTACCTGTTTATAACATGTGTTCTGTTGGATGTGTTTCAAATGATTGACAAGGTTTTATATTTCATTCTTATCTGCAAAAACATAAATTGCATACTTTGTGAATTAGAATACAATGCATATGGAAAACAAAGCAGTCAAGTAATCTGCATGCTGAATGTGTGCCTGACTTTGTTTTTTGGGTAGGAGAGTCTAAATTCTTAATGCATTATGATAAGACAAGGTGAGTTGTAAGAAACCATTTTGAGAAGTATAACTACATTTATGTACTTCCAACCTCATAGTAGCTTCCCAGGGCATAGCTGACCATACATAAAAACCAACATACCATTGTATTTGTATTCAAATCGATTGGTAGGATAATTAACTTCTCTAGTTGGTTGAAATTATGATAGCAGTTTATTTTCTCTTTTCTAGGTAAAATTTCATGCTATTGCTAGGTGTCGTGAATTAAATGCAAGAATCTCTTCTTGCTTTTCTTTTCTCCTTGTGTATACTTCTGTGAATTTTGGTAATTGCCCTATAGAGCACAATCTTTTTGAGGCCTTCATGCCATTGTTATCTTTTGTAACATTTCGAAAGAAGTGAGAGTGTGACTAATTAAACAGATCGTGCAGTTCTTTCAGATTATTATTCCTGCTTTATTTTGTTAAATCTTGAGCACTTCCTAATTGAGGACTTTTACTATGTCATTCTCAAGTTCCTGATTTATGTTATTTTCTTGTTTGTCTTAGTAACTATGATAAAATAGTTTGCTTCCTCTATTAGGTCAGACTCTATTGTTAGTGTCATATAGTTTCATGTAAAGAATGGGTAGCCTAGTGGATGAGATCTCGATCAATTTTGCTAGTGTTAGATATGCATGTGAAATATATTATCAAAGTTGCTCATAGCTTAGAACACAAAAGTTACTTCATTAGTTTTACTGAATTTGTTCTACTTAGTCCTTGAGATGTGTGGCTTTTCATTTTTGCACTGCCTTCTTGCAAACCTTAATATCTAGATTCTGCATGTTTTAATTGGTTAGTAAATAAAAGGTCTGCATGATCTTGCAACCTTAAGTTGTTAAAGGCTGTAAGAAGATCTTTTTCCAAGGTACAAAAACATATGAAAAAAATGAAGAACCGATTAGCTTGACTACACAAACCCCATTTTCTCGGCCAAAATTTATCTTTGCAACCATTATAAGGTTCAGTTATACTCATTCAGCCCTTGATTTCACTCAGCTTCCTTCAAAATGATTTGAAGGGTAGACGCACACTGTGTTCTACGTCATGCTAATCGGCTAGTAGTATTTAGGGACCAATTTTTCTGAACCACTTCAATTCTAGTCCATGATGAAATTACTGTTTTATCAGCAAAGAACACACTGTGAGTGCAATCTGATGCTCTTGCAAGTTCAAACTCTGGTTATCGGAGGATCTTGTTCTCATCTAGCCTATTTACTGTCGGTAAAGTATTACACCTTTCAGTTTTGAGTTTTAGGGCTCAATGAAGCCAAGTTATAGTTAATGTTGCAGAACTTTATACAGTGTCTCCTTTAACGGCATATACACCACCTGCATCATATTTTCTTCATTGTTCGTCCGAATTGGTGTATGCTGCAATAGTTTATATGCACCAAATTTGATGTTATTGGTGTCATACCATAAATTTGTTCAGCTATCAATATAGAACATCATTCATAGTTTATTACAGCTTGTAGCTTCGTCTTCAAACAATCAAAGCACCCACAGTGACGCATAATGTGGCTTTCTTCATGTAGAACAGGGTGGATCTACTTACGAAAGAAAAGAAGGCATCGACCCATCTACTTGATGGTGGACTTCCGGGGGTTCCAAGAGCGCGCTCACCCACCCTCGTTCTTCACCATGTGGAGCAAGAAGTCGTTCCACGTGTCGATGGGCCCCGGCAGGCACCAGTGCACGCAGTCGTTGTACATCGGCACGTTCTCGTGCGGCAGGTGGCCGTACCGGCTGGGGTGCCCGTCCGGCCTCAGCAGCATCGCATCCGTGGTGTCCAGCAGCCGGAACCTGACGCCCTTCTCCCGTCCTTCCCTCTGTGCCTCCCGGAACTCCTCCACCTGCGTCATGTACATCTTGAGGTTGATGCCGTCCAGTCTCGTCTCGTCGCGGCGGAACGGCTGCCGCCGAACGCAGTCCCCCCCGTTGTCCCACGTGCCGTTCTCGAAGTGCCACGGCGAGAACGTCCGCAGGAACACCGTCCCCCTGAATCCTTCGAGGCTGTTGAAGACCCGGAACGCCGCCCGGAACACCCGCCGGTAGCTGTAGTGCATGGTCAGGTCGGTGACGTTCGGGGCCAGGCAGTTGTGGCAACCGACGAGCTGGCCGCCCTCGTAGAACATGGTCGGCCGTAAAAGCCAGTGCCCGGCCGACATGATCACGTAGTCGAACTCCGTCATCTTGGTGGTCCAGTTGGTGTCGGGCTCGTCCAGGTACAGGTTGAACATGCCACTGTACGTGGAGGCATTGGGGTCGACTTTGTGGGCCCTTACCAGGAACGGTGACCAGAAGCTGGCGACGGTGAAGTTGTGGGTGGGGAAGTAATACCGTCGGAAATTGTCGTCTTGGGTGACGGAGGCATCCACCACGTACGTCACCTGCAGATGCATTTAAGGAGAAGCCTTATGCTGCAATGGTTGAGAGCATCTGAAGTAGCAGTACAGTTGATGTTCTTATCATTCTCTATTGGTTGCAGGTCACTCGTTACTGAAAGTGCGGCTTTGCTACACGTTAGGGAGACACCAGAGAGAATAAGACGAAGACTGGAAAGGGACAACTCACTCTGAGGAGGAGACAGATGAGGGACTGCATTTGGTTCCTCCCCAAGGAGTCGCTGACGAACGCCAGGGACTTCCCCCTAACGAGCTCCAGGAACTGCGCCGGGTTGAAGACCGGCAGCTCGCAGTGGGTCGGTTTCCACCTCCACTTCATGAAGCCCGTGTCGGGCCTCCCAAACTTCATGCAATTCTGGTGCTCTTGGATGGCCCTGCAGCTCTCGTTGGTGTAGTACGGCGCGTTAGGGTTCGGAACCCACTCCCCTCGGAAGATGTCACACGAATGCTGTGCCACTCCCAGACCGGCAATGGAATCACGAGCCATATCACTCGAAGAAGACGAAGAAGAAGAAGATGATGATGAAGAAGAGGACTGGCTTCTCCATGCAAGTGATGTGGCTAACAAAGGGAAGAGATATAGAGGAATGATGGTGAGGAGGAGGGTTGCAGTCAGAAGAAGAACGATCCTAGAGGTTTTCCGAAGGCTCGTTTTGCTTCCATTCTGAAGCTCCCGACCTGAGTTACCCTTCATGGGGGGAGATAGAAGCAGCAAAGTTTGGTGCAGGTTGCTTTGTCCTCCGATACTTGTGTGAAGAAAGGGAGGGAATGCAGGTATAATTCGTTCTCAAATAATAATAACGAGGTACTACTTGCTCAAGATTAAATTAAATAAAAAAAAATTATATTAAATCATTTTAAAGGAAAAATACTTACAATCTTGATTGATTCTTAGACTCTTAGACTTCGATCCTATCAGCTTGAATTCTTTGAGACTTAGATCTACATGTAGATATCATCTATTTATAGATGTGAAATATAAGAGTTTTTTTATCTCTATAATTCTATTTAATTTTATTTAAAAGGTAAATCTTCAATTTAAGACTTTTTAAAATATATTTTAACTTTTTAAGCTCTGAATTCTTTATCCATATAACTTTATCTAATCTTATTTAAAAGGTAAGATATTAATTTATAATCTTTCAAAATATATTTTAACTTCTTAACATTCCCCCTTACAGTATATTTTTGAGATTACTCTCAGCTTATTTTGGAAGATCTTCAAATGGTTTTTTGAAAAACGATTTGGTAAAAATACCTACTATATTATCTTTGTTTTTTATCTTTGTCACCTTAATGACCATTTTTTCTACAATTTGGATTTATAGCCAATTTTAAGGTATTTTGATTTTTACCTTATAAAATAATTGGTTTGTTAATTATTTCCATAATTAGATGCCTTAACTATATAAATTCTCGAGTACCAAGTGAGGAAGCTTTGTATTTTGCTTCAGTTATAGAAAAAGAGATCGATTATTATTTTTTACTACACTATGAGATACAAGTAAAATAATATAAAAAGACATAAAAAGAAGTAAATCTATGATTATCCAAAGTATCTCCTAGATCAGTATTTATATAATCATGTAATTCGAGATGTATGCCCGTTTTATAAAATAATCTCAAATAAGGATAGAATTCATATATTTTAAAAAAAATTATTACAGAAATCGTATAAAATGACTTACAAGATCAACTGAAAATGTAATATCTAATCTTATAATTGTTAAGTAGATAATACTACTAATAAGAGCATGAAAAGATCGAGAGTTAGAAAATATTTTCTCATCATTATAATTTAATTTTTTATTTACATCAAACAGAGTAGAAATCTTCTTATTTTTATTAATTCCAAACCTTTCAATAATTTTCTTTGCATACCTTGTTTGAGAGATGAATATATCTTTGTTTGTATATCACCGGATCAAGAAAAATATTAATCTCTCCTAAGAATTTCAATTCAAATTAGAGAGAAAGATCACCACAAAATTTTGAAATCTCTATTTCATCGTTATGGTTGATGATCATATCATTCACTTATAGAAGAACAATAATATATAGGGTTTCTTATTTTTTTAATAATTAAACTAGGATATGAATAAGAAAAAAATAACCATAAAATTGTAAGTGTTGACTAATTTTTTTCTGCTCTGAGAGCCTGCTTAACCCACAGAGAGCTTTCTTGAGCATATAAATATAATTTGATTTAGAAATAAAAGTATACCTTGATGGTTGTTTCATATAAATATCCTTATCAATTTTATCATATGGGAATGCATTCTTCACATCAAGTTGCCAAAGCTTTCATTTAAGATTGGCTATCAGAGCAATCAGCTCACATATGTTATTTTGACCACTGGACTATATATTTCCTCATAATCTTCTTTATATTTTGAGAAAACCTCTTTGTAATAAATCTTGCCTTATAATGATTTATACTTCCATCTAACTTATGTTTCATCTTATAAACTCATTTGCAAGTAATTAGATCTATATTTGTGAGCTTTGACACAAGATCCAAAGTTTTATTTTTATAAAGAGCATTCATTTCTTCACTCATATTATCCTCCTACACTTTAACATCTTTGGCTTCATCAAAACAAGTAAGCTTAAAATCATTTTTTATGAATATCATTAAGTCATCTATCGTTTTGCTCGATCATTAATGATGAAGAAATAACAATAATAAACACATATAAAGGAAAAAATGAGCTAAAATATATAAGAACATTACATGATAAAGGAAACTCAACTTATATCACTAATATTAAAATTTTTAAAAGAAATTATTTATGAAGAATAATAACTAAAAACTTCATTAAACACAACATCTCGAGATATCATATACATGTATGAATCAATGCATTTATAACATTTCTTCCTTTCATCACAGTCAATAAAAATATATTTCTTGGTCTTAATATTAAATTTCCTTCTCTTTGAGTCTGGTATATGAACATAGCATAGAGAACCAAATACTCATGTTTAACATTTGGTTTCTAACAACGTAAGTTGCACATGCCATACCTTGTTCTCATAAGGCTTTGGATAAATTCTTTGCATGAAACCAACACTTATAAGTCTCCATGAGATGTCAAAATTTTCATTCACCTATATCATTTTATTGTAGCATATTTGCACGTGTAAGTTTCTTTTGATACCATACTCTTTATAAAAAGAGAATAATATATCAGAAGTGAATTCTCTGCCAATATGTAATCTTTTAATTTTTTATTTAAGAGCACTTTCAACTATTAACTTAAACTTTTAAAAAAATTTAAAAAAAAATTGATTTTTCCTTCACAAAATAGATCTAAGTGAACATTATAAAATCATAAATAAAGAGAAGCATATAACGAGAACTTAAATAACTAAAGGATTGCTTGTCATTTGTATTGATGCCGACATAAATATAGAGCGACATTGTTTATCCCCTCTTATTATCAATGCTGACACAGAGGCAGAACAACACTACTCTACATCTGCATCTATGTTTATATTGATGTAGATATCGAACATTCCTTTCGCCACTCTACATTTGTATTGACATCGACACAATTGCCAAGTGGCATTAATGTAGATGCAGAGTATCGAAATCTGCATCACCTTTTTCCTTCTCTTTCTTTGCCTCATCTATTATTGTTACTCTTTCTCCCCATCGATAATAGTCACCTACAACTCTCATTGGCATTGTTGTTTATCATCACCGAAAATATAATATGATATTAAAATTATCCTTTTACCCATTATTTTCATGCTTCCATTAGTAAAACTAATAGCGTTAAGATAAATAAAATTAGATATTTCACTTTCATAATTATACGAATTCTAATGTATATTTTTAAAATTTATTAATCAGGATACTAAATAAGTCTAACTAGAGATGGTAATATATAATTAGTCCCTTCCTTTACTTGTAAATCTATATAATCAAGGTACAAACTGTCTAGATAAGTGGAAATAAGTCCTATTAATGGTATATGCTAGATCAAGAAATCTAAGTTTTCTTCGTACAATTGGATTTATAAATCTCAATCTCAATAATAGGGTATTAATATCAATATTTGCTGACCCATAAAATCTGAGGGGCTTTTGTTGCCAAAAGAAATGGCAACACTAAATATTCTAGAGTACCTATAAAAATTGAGGGGCAATCATTATAGTACAAGTTTACTACCTCAATAAGAGGTGGAGAATCCATTCACCTCCATTTCTCTCTTAGTTTCTTTTTCTCGAATAAGACTCATGTCATCAGAATGATTACTAGACATATGCATTGGTATCTGTATCACCAAAAGGATTTTACAATAAATTTGAATGTTTGAATTCAAAGTATTTGAAAATCAATCATATACATTTATCAAAAGTGAATACATCGTGCATATAAAGATGCTTGGTTCAATTTTAATATGTTCCACACTTCGATACTAGTATTGTAAATTAACTTATCATGAATAATAAA